CACTTTGAAGAGTAAAATGAGCCTAACCCAAAACATGGTATTTATAATCTCCTCATATGGATGTGAAAGCTGGACAATGAATAAGGAAGACTGAAGAAGAGTTAATGCCTTTGAACTGTGTGGTTGTCGAAGATACTGAAAATGCCATGGCCTATCAGAACAAACAAATCTGTCCTGGAAGAAGTGTAGCTGGAATGCTACTCGGAAGGAAGAATGGCCAGACTTCATCACACCTACTGTGGTCATGTTGTCAGGAGAGACCAGTCCCTGGAGAAGAATATCATGCTTGGTAGAAGGTCAACAAAAAAGAGGAAGATCCTCAGTGAGATAGATTGACACAGTGGCTGCAACGACGGGCTCAAGCCTAACAAGGATTTTTGAGAACGGCGCAGGACTGTGCAGTGTTGTGTTCTGTTCTACATAGGGTATTATGAATCTGAGCTGACTTGACAGTACCTAATGACAACAACTATGACTACTGACATTGAACATCTTTTTATGTGACTGTTTGCCTTTTGATATCCTCCTTTGGTGAACTACCCAAGTTATTTGGCCAGTTTCTGATGTGTTGTTTGTCATTTTTTGTTGTTGATTAAACTTTTTTCATAATTTTTCAAATTTTTATTATAATTTTTATTAGATGTCTGAAATATAGATATGAGTTTATAGAAAAGTGAAGTATTAGTGTTCTCCAGTTGAAGTGTATTATGATTATAAGATTTATGAGGTACATTTCATATAACTAAAAATAACATGAGAAGAAGAGCATTGCTAATTAAAATGTTTGGAATTTTCTAACTTTGCAAAAATCATGAAGTTCTAATATGTTTAATAAATTTCTTTAAGACTTTGTTTAGACACCTTGGTTTACAGTGTTTCCTTAATTGTATTAAGTCTAACATTAAGAAATTTGATTTTGCCTGTGGATAATTTGGAATTGGCTATAACAGGTTTTAGAGAAGGTGAGTTAAGAAATTTTAATATCTAATAAGTATCTCATCCATGCTAGATGTGATAGTTGGAGCTGTGTGTCAACTTGGCTGGACCCCAGTTCTGTGTGGTTGTTCCCATGAT